TCCCACAGATATGAAGTTTTTCTATTACAGGATAAAAGAGAGGATGCATTTCAAGTACTGTATTTAGTTTAAATCATATACTACAGAATTTTATCCATTGCCTGGAACATATTGTTCCAAGTGTTTCTATGTTTCTCAATTGGCTTATTTGTTTTTGTCATTTCTTCAAACCATACTTTGAGAAGGCATCAGCCAACAAAACAGTGAGCACACACATTCAATCCCTGCTGCTACTGACTAGGAGTTAAAGAATGAGGAAGTATGTGGGTGACAGAATCTGTTCGCATTGAGAGATTAAGCATCTTATTGGACTGCTGCTTTGTGGCAGCTGGAGATCATAAATTGAGACACTGGAGCTCCAAGAGAGAGATTCATTCATGCAAAAGCTTCCTGCTCTCTCATTCTTTCCCCCATAAACAGTAATCCTATATACTTTTAACTTGCCACATCAACAAACTAGGGACAGTAGTTCATGCAGTGAATTGTGATGATGTCACCCTGAGGAATTAATCTCATTTATGCTTCTTCATTCATCAACATATATATGTAGCACACATTTTTAAAAAAGAGATCTAAAAAATAAACACAAGAAAAGTAACTCATTACATGTACAACACATGATGGAAGTGCTATACTGTTTAGCCTTGAAGTTACCAGTTGCAACAATGTGTGTTAATAGACTATTTCTATTCTCATATTTCTGAACTTCTTTTGCAGATGCGTTACCAAATGCAAAAAGTGTGTACTCTGCACAAACATTAGAAAGCCTAAAAATAATTGTCAGAAAAATATTCTTTTGTTCTTAATCATGACCTGTGTTGAAATGAATCTACATTGCACTTTCTTCAATAAGTTCAGCTCAGTCCTGTTCAGAACTGTGAAAAACATTTATTTATTTATTTATTTATTTTTATTTGTTTCAATTTGTATACCGCCCTTCTCCAACAGGACTCAGGGCGGTGAACAGCCAGAATAAAAACAGAACATACAAAATTTAAAAACAGTTTAAAATAATTAAATATTTTTGGCCGCAGTTTAAAACAAACCCAATTTAAAATCAATTAAATTTAACCCAAAACTGTGGGATCAAGCCAGCCCGGCTAGTTGAAATAAATAAGTTTTCAGGGCCCGACGAAAAATCCGGAGGTCTGATATTGTACGTATCTCTGGGGGGAGGTTGTTCCAGAGGGCGGGCGCCGCCACAGAGAAGGCTCTCCCCCGGGGGTCGCCAGCCGACACTGTCTGGCGGACGGCACCCTGAGGAGGCCCACTCTGTGCAAGCGTACTGGCCGGTGGGAGGCTATTGGTGGCAGAAGGCGGTCTCGTAAATACCCCAGCCCTAAGCCATGGAGCGCTTTAAAGGTGGTCACCAACACCTTGAAGTGCACCCGGAAGACCACCGGGAGCCAGTGCAGCTCGCGCAGGAGAGGTGTCACATGGGAGCGCCCCATCGCTCCCATAATCCCCCGTGCGGCCGCATTCTGGACCAGCTGGAGCCTCCGGGTGCACCCCAGCAGCCCCAACATGCTGCTGCTTTTCTAATTTACTAAGCAATTCTTCAAAACATACTTTTAAAAATGTAAAAGCAATTTCGTTGACCAATTTTCTTTAATTAGTAAATAGCAGCAGAGACTATGAAACAGGGCAATCTAGCACTTTATGAGTCTATTCCTCATACTCTGTGAATGGATTAAAATAAGATGATGACTTGCATGCACAAAACAATCAGTGTCAGCTTGCCTAAGCAACGTAGAGGCCAGAATGCAATTTAGTAGGGATCCAGATCTTCAGGGCTTTGTCAAAACCTGTTCTTCTCAACAGGTTTCTCTTGGATAGCTGGCTTGTCCAGACAGAGTAGAAGGAAAAGGGTAACTGGACATTTATCCTAGGCCCATGATGGCGAACCTATGGCACACATGACCCAGAACATACCACAAACTCAAGGCTTTCTGCATAGCAAATAGGCATAAAAGTTAACTTTCAAAAGTGTCCAGAGAGTCAAATATCATGTTCAAAAAACTCCAAGAACAGTCTTTCCAGTCTAAAGTTCCAGATAACTAAACAACTGTATACAGGCAGGCCTCAATTTACAACAGTTCATTTAGTGACCATTCAAAGTTACAACGGCACTGAAAAAAGTGACTTATGACCATTTTTCAGACTTACAGCCACTGCAGAATCCCCATGGTCATGTGATTTACATTCGGATGTTTGATAACTGGTTCATATTTATGACGGTTGCAGTATCTCGAGGTCATATAATCCCCTTTTGTGACCTTTTCGCAAGCAAAATCAATGGGAAAGCCAGATTCACTTTACAACCGTGTTACTAATTTAACTGCAGTGATTCACTTAACGAATGCACCAAGAAAAGTCATAAAATGGGACAAAACTCACTTAACAAATGTTTCACTTAGCAACATAAATTTTGGGCTCAATCGTGGTCATAAGTCAAGGCTACCTGCATAGACAGAGTAACAGACAGGAAAAGAGTCAATAGCACAAGTCTAGAGCCCTGGTGGTGCGGCAGACTAAAGCACTGTTATTAACATCAGCTGCCTGCAATTACTGCAAGTTCAAATCTCGCCAGGCTCAAGGTTGACTCAGCCTTCCATCCTTTCTAAGTTAGGTAAAATGAGGACCTGGATTGTGGGGGCAATAAGCTGTATAAATATACAAAAGTATGAAGGCTATTGCTTAACGCATTGTAAGCCGCCCTGAGTCTCCGGAGAAGGGCGGCATATAAATCAAATTAAAAAATTTTTAAAAAAACAAACAAGTCATCTCTTTTATATAATTGGTTGAATCCTGCTTCTTCCGGTCAAGTAGATGACTTGACTTCTTTTGCTCTTCTTAACTTGCAACGTATTGCTGTGCTTGGGACTTGCCTAGCTCAGGCTCCTCAGGTACACTCCCTTTAGCAATTTCTGTTATCTATCCTTTCTTTGTGCAAGCCCACTGCTAACCCTGATTTGTTTGTACTCCCGCCTCCCCCAACCGTAGAGTTATTACTTATAGTTTGTGTGTGCCTCTGGCTAATAGATCCATTCTAGCAACATCTGGAATAAGTCCATATTAAAACTGGACTATAAGTTCAACATAAATTTATATTGTAAAGTAACAATTTAGGGTTACTTCAATTACTGTATTTTTCGGACTATAAGACGCACCTTTTTACCCCTAAAAGGGGGTGAAAATTTAGGTGTGTCTTATAAACCGAATGTACCCCTGCCCACCCACTGGTCCTCACCCTTTGGCCTGTGCCTCGCAGCAGTTACCTTCTTGCAAACAAACAGCAAGAAAAAACAGCCCCTTTCAGCTTCAGCATAGGTTAATTAGCACAAGTTGATTAGATCAGCCTCCTGACTCTCAGCTGATTTGGGCAGGGCTGTCCTGCTTGCCGCAAAGAGTGCTGGAGCAGATTTTTTTTCCCTAGCTATGCTGAAAAAACAAAACTGAAAGTAAAGCAGGCTCTTTGCTGCAACATGACAAAATGAGGCATAGAGAGGTTTCTTTTTCTTTTTCCACACCAAAAAAGGTAGGTGCAAACAATGGGAAATTTAGGGCAAAAGAGGAGAGTTCAAGATTTTAAAACACAAAAGAAAAAAAGCCCTATTTAACTAGGGAATTGTAATAATTGAGATACTATTAATTGTATATTGTGTTGAAAGCAGAAATGGTTAAGTTGTGGTTTGGAGGAATATATGGGGAAAATTATTTGGTTTATTATTATTGGTAAATATAATTAATTGATTTGTAAGAAATTGGATTGCATGGAAATAATTGGAATATTCATGTTCATATTGATTAATATACAAAAAAGATAGTTATAACTAATTGATTTATATAAAAATGTTGAATTTGTATTAAACAATTGTAATATTAAATAATTAACCAATGTGAGGATGGATATAAAAATAGATGACAATGGGAAGGGGTATAATACAGAATAGAAGGGAAAAATTGAATTTGATTAAGATTAGAGATGAGAATGGTAATATTGGTTTCTTTAAAAAAAATAGATGAGGAATAAATATGGCAAAAAGGAAATATAGAAATTGTAAATTTAATTGAAATGACTAAACACTGTTTAAATTTGTGAACCAGCCAAATACTCTGTTCAAAGAAAATACATTGTATGTTTGTATGTGTGTTTGTCTAAAAAATTAAAAAAAAACAACAACCAAAAAAAGTAGGTGTGTCTTATACTCCGGTGCATCTTATACTCTGAAAAATACGGTAGTTTTTAATGAAACAACATACTAAGAAGTTACAAAATTTGATGGCATGACTCAACAGATTCACTTTTATACAAAACTTTGAATAAAATATTTACATAACATTATTAGAGTTTCAGAAAGGTACAAGCTTATGAATTGCCAATATTTTTTGGGTCAAACATTCACGTTTTGTGAAGTTTTATTGTATTACTACAAATCTATATTGTTCAATATAACAGTATTATTTTATTGCTGTGCTGTTTGTAATTCTCTGATGTAATTTAATCCTATATTGTTCTGAGGAAATAAGATACTCAATCATTGTTTTAATTGGAGCAGTATATAACTCTTGGTAAATACAATAAAAATAAATCAAATCAGAAATTTGGAACAAAATAAGGCAGTCTGTCATGTTTACTGTGAAGGAAAGTTAAAAATATTCTATCCTCTCAGATGTTTGTTCATGGAAAGGCCTGAATATTTTAGTCCCAATATTATGACTTTTTCACTTTTTATCCCATAAACTTACTTTTAACCTTTATATTAGTAAAAGCAAACAGCATCCATACTAAAACAATCTAGGGCTGCAATTTTTCTTTTTCTTTTTCTTCTTCTAATTTTCCTGAAGTCATTACTTGGGCTTTTTCGACACTTGCAGCTACACACAGTGTTAATTTTTGCAAATCCTTTGTTTACTATTCGGCAACACTGGAAAAATACACACACACTAAGGTAATCACTGAAAAAACTGTTTAAATTATATGATAAAAGAATACTGACCTGATACTCTTCTGTTAAACTTGTTAATAACAGGAGCTACAAAAGAAACAAAAAAGTTCGGTTAGGAAATAACTGGTTGATAAAATTATTAAAGAGGATCATAATTATCTAACAACAGATTCATCAACTTGTTATCCTATAACAGGTTGGCTTTATTATTACTGATTTTAATTAAACTTCCAAAGCTTTATTTTAACTGCATATTTAATGTTAAGATTTTCCTGAAATTAACTTGAAGCCCAGACAAAAAGATACCTCTAAGAACTTTAAGATTAAAACAAATTCTGTGCTGCTGCAAGAGAAGAGAATAGAAAACTGCCTTTATAAACTGGGCACAGAAGGAAGGCTTTCCTCTTATAACAGTTTTTTTTCCCTTCAATTCTCTCATAAACACAGAAGAGAAATATAACATGTATTATATGCAGTCCATGAACAAGTATGAAATTCTTGGTTTAAAGTAAATTGCTGCTTAAATGTCAGGTTGGCAGATGTATCTAAAATACAATAAAATGCAAAGTTCAGTAATTTGTTAGACGAAGGTCCTTCTTTGTAGGTAAGAACTGCCCAAAGCAATTTGCTGTGCTTTTACAGTATTTCATAGGATTTAATTTTCATAAAACAGATGCTCAGACTTAACTGTTACAGTACACAGTAAAAAGTTAAGTATAAATAGTCCTCAATTTACAAATGGTTGCTTAGATGATCTATCTGAGGGGGAATTATGACCCAGATTCGAATTTCTGACAGTTCCCCCCCACCCCTGGCAGTTATTTCTAATTAAATTTATATATTTTTGGCAGTTATGCCAAAAATTGTCCTTTACTCCTTTAGTAATCTTTCAGTAAAACTGCACCCATAGTGAACAATTGCTCAACAATTCCAGTAATTTGCTTAATGACTGGTGCAAATACCGTATTTTTCAGAGTATAAGACACACCTTTCTCCTCCCTAAAAGGGGGTGAAAATTTAGGCACGTCTTATACACTGAATGTAGCCCCGCCCACCCACGGGCCCCCACCCTTTGGCCTCTGCCTCCCAGCAGTTACCTCCTTGCAGCAAGCAGCAAGAAGAAACAGCTCCTTTCAGCTTTAGAACAGCCTAATTAGTACAAGTTGATTAGCCTTCCGACTCTCAGCTGTTTTGCTCTCAGCTGTTTTGCATGGGCCTCTGCTGCTTGCTGCAAGGAGGTAAATTGCTGGAGCAGATTTTTTTTCCCCAAGCTATGCTGAAAACGAAAATGAAAGTACAGCAGGCTGTTTGCTGTAAAGAGGCAAAATTGCTGGGAGGCAGAGGCAGATTTCTTTTTCTTGTTTTCCTCACCAAAAAAAGTAGGTGCGTTTTATAGTCCAGTGCATTTTATACTCCGAAAAATACGGTAGTTGCAACCGTGATGAGCAGACTCCATTACAGTTGTAACTCAAGGACTACCTGTAGTTCTAGATTAAACTTCTTACTGGAAGAATCTTTTCACTTTTATGCTATCTGCCATAATCAATCTTGCTGTAAAATTATTTTCCAGGAATCACCCTTTGGGTGTAGTCATTTCTCTTTTGAAAACATCTATCAGGATCTAATTCTGGTCAAGGAATAGCAATCAGACAGGCAATACATTTAGCTATCTATAAGTAACTGGGACATGAAGATGAATGTTCAACTTTATATGTGGATTAATCTATTCCATCATTCGTATTTTGTATTACCAATAAAATGAGGAAACACTTTCAGCTTCATTTAACTGAGGATGGAGGGTGATATATATTTTTTTAAAGGTCTGCAATGATTTACTAATTTAAGTTTTTGAGTTGCCCATGCTATCGGATACTAGCTACTATCAAATATTCTGACATGAATTTTAAAGCTGTACAAGATCATCAATCAGTATGAAGCAATTTCTATTCATTTAAAGCCTAATCCATGTTATGCATATTCATGTAATATCAAACCTAATCATTTTCCTTTGTCTCAGGTAAAAATAAATCAGGGGTGTGCAACCATAGCAACTTTAATATTGCTGGGGAATTCTGGGAGTTGAAGTCCCCAAGTCTTAAAGTTACCCAGTTTGGAGACTTTGATCTAAACAGACATATGACTGCCTTGTATAAGCAACTACATGTTAACAAAATAATAATAAATGATCCAAAACTGGTATCACAACAGCAACCAGGCTAACAAATAGCAACTATATGTCAACAGAAATAGCACCTACTGTATGTCAACAGAAAATTCATTCAGCTAGAAATGAAATTAAGAGGAATAAAACACAAGCAACAAAAACAGATCCTGTGAATCAGGGGGGAAAATGGATCATGAAAGCAATGTTATTCCTTCGACTGCATTTTTTTGCTTAACAGAATCTCCATGTAAGGTGACTTCCTTCAAAGAAACACATGGTCATTCTCTTTCTCGCCATCATTTGGATTCTAGTCTTCCTTCTGCACAGAATCAGAAGCTCCCACTGCTAGAAGCCAAAAAGAACTTTTGATGGCATCTCTTCTACATTTTAAACTGAAGAACCCTTCCTACCTCTGATGCTGCTTTTCACAGATGAATATGTCTTATTTCCACCCATAACCTGCTACTAACAAGCATAATTTCATTCATAGGGAAACATGAAAATCTAGGGGGAAAGTGCACAGTTCCTCATTGGAATCCCTTCTCCTGGCATCATTTTATTTTTTCCTGAAGAACTGGAACAAATAAAAAAAAATCAGCTACATAACAGTCTCTTTCAAAATAACTTGAGGCAAAACATTCATGTAAATTAACTCTAGCATTTTACGAAAGAATTTTTTTTCTGCCTAGAATCATTACATTTCCAGTGTTGAAGACAAACAGTAAGAGCAAGAGGAGAATACTTCCCTGCTTTCACTGCCATTGTTATTTTTTATATAAGAGAGGAAAGAAGGCTTTAGATCCTTGTGGGTTTTATTGCTCACTTTGGTAGAGGTGGGCAAATCTGTTCCTGTCATTATGGTAAGGTCTTGAAGACCCACAAGTGCAGTGACATGGTCAGCTATGTATTCTTATCAAGTACATTAGGAATAAGAAACTGGTTCTTCTGCATGCTCAGACAAAACCACCCTAAAGATTTCCACAAGAACTCCTCTACCCAACTATTGCAGTCTGCCTTTGAGATCCACAAAAGAATACGGCAACTTAAGGAACTAAAAGGAACAACTTAGCCCAGGATATTGTTTCTCATACTGTAGTAGCTACCTAAGTGCCTCTGCTGTGCTTTGAAACAGAAGAGCAAGACATACCCTTTCCTGCCATTGTTCCATGGTTAACGCTAGTATTTAAAAAACCTTTAGTTTTTATCACCCACAAATCTCATTACCTAACAGTAGGACTCAAGCAGTTTATGGTCAAATTTGCAAAAAATGAAATAGCAGAAATTCTTAAGAAATTCTTTACAAACTTCCCTCCACAAAGAAAAAAAATCTCTTTTATTTCCCACTTTTTGCTTTTTCTTTTTAATCAAATAAATAAAGGGCCTTGGTAGTACAGGGGTTTAAGGCACCCTGTTATTAAGCTTATTAAGACCAGCTGTCTGCAATTACTGCAGGGTTCGAATCTCGCCAAGGCTCAAGGTTGACTCAGCCTTCCATCCTTTCTAAGGTAGGTGAAATGAGGACCCAGTTTGTGGGGGCAATAAGCTGACTTTGTATAAATATACAAAAGGATGAAGGCTATTGCTGAGCACATTGTAAGCCGCCTTGAGTCTTCGGAGAAAGGCGGCATATAAATCAAATCAAATTAATTAAATAAATAAATAAATAAATAAATAAATAAATAAATAAAATTAATCATGATAGTAAGGTTTATTCAAGAGTGTTTAATGAGGACATTTGTGTAAATTCAAACATGCTTCATTCAAGTGCTAATTGACTTTTTAAAAAAAAAAACTCCAGAAGCTTAGTGAGGCAGGACTTAACTTTGTGGAATCCATGCTGATTTTCTTTCAGCATGACTGAATATGAATGATGATTTTGCTGTAACAGATAACAGCCAAGCTATAATTTCTCAAATCCTCCTTAGGATCCTTTTTTAAAAAAATGGTGTTATATTGTTTCCCTGACAGTTTTCTGGCATTTCAAGAGATCCAAGTGTCAAGCCTCTTTATCACTAGTCCATTTTTTAGAATTTTCGTATTCAAATGTGACTATATTTTAGTCTGTTCTCAATTTCCACTTGCATATATAATAAAGAGCATTGTGGTTGCTGTTCCTTATCAGTAACACAACAACATCTTGCATTGGATCATGAACCTCATTTAGGATTAACTTTGGAGTTGTTTCCTGTCTAATTGGTTCCAAGACCATCTCTTCTATGGCTGCAGTATTTAGAAATCGTTTTTGTCATCACATGAGCATGAATACTCAGTATACATAAGAATATCTGAAGTCCCCCTTCCAACTTCTCCATACACTTTCCTTATTTCTTTTACCTACCAACATAATTGTTGGTACTTGGATCAGTTGAACAAAAGCATATCTTGGCAGATAATTTGTATGTGTAATCATATTTTATTAAACTTACAGGCCTGACCCTGGACGACTCAACAAAATTCAAAGAAATCTATAGTCAGATATTGCTGGCATTAGATAGATATTAAGCTTTATTTATTAGCCAGATATTACAGATAGTCCTTGACTTACAACTATTTGTTCAGTGACCATCCAAAGTTACAATGGCCCTGCATGGCATTTATGACTGGTCCTCAGAGTTCCAACTGTCCCAGCACCCTCATGAGCTGGGCAGTTTGCAACCAATTCATACTTAACAACCAGCTGCAGCACTCCATAATCAGATGATCGCCATTTGCAATCTTTGCTGCCAGCTTTCCCAGAGACTTGGAATCTGAATTTTGATCACATGACCATAAGGATGCTGCAACAGTCATGTGAAAAACTGTTGTCACAAGTCACTTTTTTTCAGTGCAGTTCTAACTTCAAATGGTCATTAAATGAATGGTTATAACTGTAGGACTAGTACTACAATTTGCTCTTATGGGCCTGTCTTCAAAGATGATTTGG